TAAGGAGCGAGCTGCTATTCACTTAGTCATAATTACCGTTTTCACAGGTCCCAGAGGACTAGCTGTTCTCTGTCAGTCTCTCAGGACTAGCAGCTGGTGGGGACAGTCCTCAAGATGATTTCTCCCCAGATAAAAAAGTATCACAGTTTCCGCCATTCCTTGCGAGATAAGAGGCCAGGGAGGTTGCTAGTGATTTTTGGTGAGGCTGTCCCCCAAGGTGGGAAGACCCTGGGCTGGGGCAAACCTGGGTTTGATTTCTGCCTGGGCCACTGTCAAGTGTTACCTGGGCAGAGTTCTTGACCTTCCCTGAGTGTCTGCTCCTTCTGGAAAATGGGGCTCATGCTCCTCCCCTGGTAGAACTATTGTGGGGAAGAAATGAACTAATTATGCCAACTGCCTGACGGAGGCTAAGCTCTCCATTAATGATAGTTATTATATTATTGCTTCGCGGAGGTTAGACTTCTCGTCCCCTTGTCAGAGCCCCGGGGACCCTGGGCGTCCTGCTAGCTACTGCTTTGCATCTCACTCTTCTGCTGGCCACCCAAGGACTGAAAAAGACCTGCTCTTCCCTTCCTCGAGCCTTGACACCTTCTGATAGTTTCCATCCTTGTCCAAAGAGATGTTTGGCAAAGCCAAGTTCAGTGCGCTGGGGCAGCACTTCAAGAGGCTGTCTCTAAGAACACATTGCCTATAAAAGCCAGGGCTGCCTGTACCTCAAAGACATCTAAGAGGCTCTCAATTCAAAGCATTTCACAATGCTCAACTCGGGCAGAATCTAGGTCCAAAATTGATTGCACTGGAACATTTACTTCCAAGAACTGGCTGCTACACACAGCCCTTGCATCTTCGAGTCACAGGCACAAATTAACTTTGACCAAGAATGAAATAATAACTGAGAGGTCAAAACAAATTACATTTTGAGTTTGTCCCTTAGTGAACAAGAGGCAAGAACACTACCACTGTTTCGTACATAGAAATATTCCTATCAACAGCAAAGAACGCTTTCTCCCTAAAGGCTATGCATTCTTCGACAGTGACTTTTCGGTCCAAAGTTAGGCTGTGGGCACAGGAGAGTGCAGAGACAGAAAACTACAGCCCAAACAGAGAGGAATATTTCAAGTTATCTACCAATCGCTTACTGATTAGAGTTAGAAAATTACTGAATAAACTCCATTTCCACGAGAGAAGAAAACTGCCATTTTTCGAGATCAATAATTACATGTGATACTTTTACAAATAAAAAGACACAAACTACCATATTACTGTGCACACTATGTCTGGATAGTTCTTCAAAGGATATCATTTAAAAATTATTGTAAAACACTTAGCAAACATGTTCTATATTAATTCTATGTTCTGTGAATAAATAATAATAAAAGTCATCCAATGCTGTTTGCCCATGGTTAAATAGAATGTTCAAGCAGGCACACTTAAAATACCCAATTCTGTGTATTTCACACAAGACTGTAAGTTCCTTGATGGAAGGGCTGTGGTTGCGTTCAGCATAGCATCCCCACGCCTGGCTCATAAAAATGACTCTATGACTCTGTACTGAATTAATATAATAAGTACCATAAAGATGTCCTGAAAGACGGTCAGAGGGCTCCTAGAAAGTTATAAAGAATTTTTAAAATGTTGTTTTCAGATCTTTCCATCATATTGCATGACTATTTTGAAAGGACAAGCTTTGCAATAGATGATCCAAAATTGTCAACGTCCAGACAAACAGAAATGAGACTCCAGGGGAAAGATGAAGTTCATGTTACTCAACCTCTTTCAACTCCGTGTCATTTCAAGTCAACTGAATTTCATTCTGTTTGAAAAAGGTTAACACAGTAATAGAGCCTATGGCAGAAGCTGTCTTAATCACTCCAGGGCATAAGATGTTGACCCTTTGTGGGCCTTTGCTTGTGAAATAGACCCTACTTAAATAAAAGTGCTTCTTTTCTAACATGGTGTTAAACAACTGGCACACACATCTAAATGCTCCTCTTTTAACTGGGCCTGCACAGCGAGTCCATGGGTCACGGGTTACTATTCCCAATAGGCTCATTATCAGCTACATTAGCTCAACAAACATTTCAGCAAACTACAGCAGCTATATAATTCAAACAAATAGTCAGCTTTTACAGGATTTGCACTGATTGGTTCATTAATTGAATAATGTGTCAACATAACAAAATGTTTGCCTCTTGCCATCTCGGAGAGGCACAATCTCCCCTGGGCAGAATGTTTCATTATCTTAGATTCTCCCATAATAGGCAGGAGACTACGGACCTAGTGTTTTATTTAAATCAGCTAGATATTGTTTAATTCTGATGCTTTTCTGTTTACAACTGCGAAAAAGGCGAAGTAACTAAAATAAAAAAGCACACAGAATACTATAGTGACTTCAAATAATTAGCCGGAAATAAAAAATCACTAGTGATAGACCAATGACAAGTTAAAATGTACATTTCTCATTCAGATGCTGTAAGTGCAAACCTAAATACCTTTTCCAAGAATATCAAAAACTGGTGATCACATGGCTCACCCCATAATGAAGATGAAATAGAAATTCTTATCAGAAAACATTTGAATAGTATCCCTTTACCAACAGAGTGAAATCATACTAGCCTTTGGAATCATTATGCTGAGGCATTTTAACATGAAATTAACTTTCTTACAGGATCTAGAAATCGCCCAGACCTCCACCCCCAAACCAACCAGGTAGACTACTGCCATCCAGCGATAGAGAAAATTTTGCAAGATGTTTTACCTGATAATCTCAATGTAACAGAATCCTAACCCAGCGCAAGGAGTGACTGTTACTATTTAAATGATTACATTACAAAACTAAAGCCAAAGCCCTTGAGATAAATACAAAACAAATTAGAATCTCTCGAAGAGGCTGCAATGGCCTAATTCAAGAGTCTATTCAAAAAATAGCAACAGAATAACAATTACTAAAGGGTTGTTTCCTAAAATTACTCTCCCGTTGACATTTCTCAATTCTAAAATACCATAAGAAACATGCTCACGGTCACTGATTTTGCTTTAAAAGAAAGCATCACCAAAGAATACCACCAAAAAACAAAGGCATTCATACAAGGAAGTGAATACCCTAAGCACATAAGTATATTCTTAAGAGGGGTACTAAAAAAGCAGAAGTCACATTAAGTTCAACACCAAGAAAAAATAATGAACAGAAGTTCCTAATTTTAGTAATAGTATATTACTAAAAAATATACCAAAAAAAAACTGCCCATGAGTAGAGATTTATTGATTTTAAATATAGAAACCCTATTTATTTAGGACTCCATGCCCTTTGGGGGCAGTAGGAAAGGCAAGAGAAAAAAAAATTAAGAATTTTTATACCACATGTATAGAAATGTACAGGGTTTTTTTTTCCCCCCCAAATGAAATTTAGGTTTGATTTGAGGGTTCTTGTTCTCTAAGTTACCCATTTGCCAGAAATTTTAAACAGCATTGATTTTTAATTAGCTTCAGATATGTTAAATGCTGGAAAAAGAGTGTTAAATTCACAGCACTCCAGAAAGGTCTGCACTTTTCCCCGATTTCCCCTACTTGGCACTGCCTGTCAAAACAGCACACACTACAAAACCAACAAGAGGCATGAGCTAAGGAGGGAACGCACACCAAAACCATCTAGCAAGCATGTCTTCATTTGCACAAGTTGGCTTTTTCACAACCAATGACTCAAAGGAACTGATATTTTCTATATCATATGGCTTGTAAATGAACGCCAAAAAATAATCTGATGATCACTTAGCATCAAAAGATTTTTTTTCCTAAGTTAAGGTAACATTTAAGCAATCTTGGGTGTATCACGCTTGAAGGACCGATGATTTCAAATGGAGAACAGCTATGGTTTAAATTCTAAGATTTTACAGAATTGCATGGTTTCAAATTCATCATTAAGAAGATTCCTCTTTTTATCATCAATTCCACCAAGAGCTACTTTGCTTCAAGGAACCACATTAGCTACACAACTCATGACGATGTTAATAAAGAAAGAAGCCAGGAGGAAAAATCCAACACTGATGCTTTGATACATTATTTGAAACTCACTACTAACCTTATGAGCAATCTTTTCTGGGGTAGTGCTAATGACACGAACTAGCAAAATGTTTTTACTAGTTCATCCGCAATAAATTATTTGAAATAAAACTGCAACTTGGTATGGACTTCACCGAGCCCCTGGCCAATTCAATGGGGGTCCTTCTTTGATAAATTAACAACAAACTCCATTCTGGAAGCATCCATTCGATGTGCCTTTTTAAGTGAATCCCATTTCAACCTTTTAATAAAGTGCCACCAGGAGATCTGCAAGTTGAGAAAGGCAGCTCAGGTGACACACTTAGCGCCAAAGAGAAAACAGAGTGGGTGTAAATCCCTCCGGGGGCACAGAAGAGGAGAAAAGATCCTAGGAGGCTGCCTGGACTGATGGACCTTCCAGGGAGGCAAGCAGTGAAAACAGCAGCTGAAGTACCTGGGACGAAAGGCAAGAAGCCTGCACGCCCCAGCTGAAGAGCCCAGAGGGAGCTGAGCAGAGGACGGACCAGGGAAGGAAAGAGCAGGATGGAGCTCAAGGGAATGACAGGCACGGGGCAGAAGGGGACCTTAAGGATGGGGCTGGAGGGGACCACAGCAGTGGAACACGGAGAGACACAGGGATAGGGCTGGAATGACGGACAGTGATAGGAGAGGAGAGGGGGACAGGGATGGAGCTGGTCCAACCAAGTCATTCCCAGCCCCACGCCGGGGCGCTCGCTGTGCGCGGGGCACTTCGGAGCGCTCTTTCCTCGAGTCCCCCCAACAGCCCTCCGATGCCCCCATTTCAGGGACCGGAAGGACGAGGCCGGCCCCTGCAGCGCCCGCTCCCCAGGTCACCGGCCGGGGACAGGGCAGCCGAGCGCCCGACCCTCCCGGACGCAGGGGGTCGCTGGCGGCCGGGGGGCGGCGGCGCGGGGGGCGCGGCGCGGGCCGGGAGCCGGTACCTGGGCTCGGGCAGGACGATCTTCTTGCTGGCGCGGGCGGCCGGGGTGGCCTTGCTCTTCTCCATGGCCATCAGGTAGCTGACATCGGCCAGCACGGCCTCCAGGTCCGCCATGTTGGCGAGCGGCGGCGGCTCCTCGGGACCCGGACGGGACGCGCTCCCGCCGCCGCCGCCGCCCGCAGCGCCCCAACGTGGGGGGGCCGCCCCGGGGCAGCCCCCCCTTCCGCGCGCCGCCGCCGCCTCCCGCGCGCGCACCGCCGCGCGCCCGCCCCGGCCCCGCACACGCGCGCCGCCCACGCCCCTTCCGCGAGGGTCCGCGGGGAGCGCGCGCCCAACGCTCGGCGCCCCTCGGTGCCCGCGCGCAGTGGCCCGGCCCGGCCCGCCGCGCGCCTCCTGACCCAGTCCCTGCGGGCGTCCTCCCGCCCTCCCCTCGGGGTGGCCACGGGGGACTTCCTCTCCTCCGCCTCCTCCTCCTCCTCGCCTGCCGCCCGACCTCCCGCCCCCAGAGCCAGGCACTCTCACGCCCGTCACCGTCCCCCCCGGGGAGCGCTGGGCCCGACGCCCACCACCCTAGGGGCATCAGAGAGGTCTCCGTGCCCCGGACAGGGTAGTTCTCCAACTGGACAGTGGCAGTCAGCATCCTCCGGGAGGTGCGGTGGCCCCAGAAATGCACGTGCCCCACCTGTCCCGGCAGGTGATAATGAAGCCTGGTGGTCCGAGCCACCCTTGGACAGCTCCCAGCGGGCCTGGCTCCCAGCCTCGCTGCTGACCCTGAACATCCCCGGTGAACTCCCCAAAGAGTAAACGCTGGAGAAAGTTGCTTGTCTCCTGCTAAGCAGGGCCAAGCGGGGTGAGAGCTCCGCGCCCACACCCCGGGAACAGAGCTGCCCTTGGGGAGCGCGCTGTTGGAGGAGCTCTCCCTTAAGAAGCTCACCGCTCCCGTGCACTCATATGAGAGGTGTTAGTTTGGGTGTTTAAATGGTCCTTGAGAGAGAGAACTGGATACAGAGCTGTGGCTCTTGGGTTTGACCACTGGTTCAAGACAATTAGGGAGCAGTGCTGAGCGCTCACACCCACCACGGGGGGATTTAGGGAACTGGGAGAGGGGGAGCCCAAACCGCCCAGGCAGGAGGGAATTTCCAGCTTCCTGATCCTGGGGCTCCCTGTCCCTCCTCACCACTGCCCACCCCTGCCTGGGGCTTTCAGTTGCTTCTTGTTTTTCGCCCTCGGTACACACAAGCCCACATTCAGAACCCATGTGGCATTCAGGCGGGAGTGGTGTTAAGGAACACCCCGGCAGTCTTAAGAAGACCTGAGCTGGAAATTAATTAATCAAATAAAAACATTCCTTGAATTCATCCCAATTGGTCACGTTGCACCACGAACCTAGACTTTGAATTTGAATGAATAGGTCCTGTCAATAGCTTACATGGTTAACAGGGCCCCCCAGAGATGGTTAAGGTCAAATTTGGGGTGTTTCATGTAAAGCCATAGCAGAAGCAGTCTGACTCTGTCATGGCAAGAACCCTGCCCTCTTTTGTTTTGTCTCCCCAGGGGGGCCACTCTGCCTCAGTGTTTCCCTGCTGTGCCTGCCATCACTACTGGCCAGTTTTTCCAGACCAGACGTTTCTCAAGATCCAAGGCACCATATGTGTGAAGTTGTCCAGAAAAGGGCAAGAGGGGTGTAAGAAGTAGGAATGCGGGTGGAAGGAGCATGGTCTGGCAGCAGAAAGCAGAGTGGTCGAACAAGCACAAAATGTATGAACAAGACAAAGAGACACATACGCCAAATAGCAAACTTTCATCTTCCACCCACTTTTTTTTTTTTGGCCTGAAAACAGGAACACAGAATGTCTTGTCAAAGGTCACCCAGGAGGAGGAGTAAGTTCCTAAAAAAAGCATACATTTTTATGATTTAATTAATACAGTTTCTTTCAATATGTCTTTTTATCACTTGGGCTTCCACGTGATGAGATCTGACTTCTGCCTACATTTTCTTGGTCCTTTTTGACTTTAACGAAGAACATTATTTTTGATCTTTTTTTTTCCCCTTAGCAGCATGGTGTAGTAAGTTTGGAACAAGACACACCTGAATTCAGATCGCTGCTCTGGATAGATCCGGGTGACCTTAGAGCAGCATTTTGCCTCTCTTGTTCTCATAGGTCAAGTGGGAACAAGGCCATTTCCCCAAAGCGTTGTCAAGAAGACAGGACAAAACGCACCTTCCCTGGCACCCAGTTGCTCTTCAGCAAAGGTCAGGGCCCTTCCTCTATTTGTTTTCCTTCCTTTCACCCCGGCAGCTAGAGAAGATACTGAAACTAGTTATTCACAGTCACTACACTTGAAGCAGGAAGACCCCTTACCAAAAATAACATCTCCCCAGGGCTTTTCTAAGAACGAAAATGGCAAGAATGATTGGCATTTATAAACACAAGTAATCACTCTTCTAGCAGAAAGAACAAGGAGTCCAAAATTCGGTTCTCTAACTGGGGCCACTACGCCATTTCAGTCAGCTGACTCGATTACCCAGGGGCATTTTTTTTTTCTGGTATTAATAGTGTGTGAACTTCTGTTCCCTGGCTTTCTCCTTTGCTGTCACACTTTCTCCACCCCCCCCCTTTTTCTTTTCCTTGACTCTTAAGACTGAATAGCTTTTTGTGTTCACTGCAAACAAAAGGCGTTAATGACAGTGATGAAGTTGTCATAACTGACCTGCTAAATCCTGTTGCTAAACACCATGGCCAGGCTGCAATCATTGCAACGAACAGAGAAAACAAATAGCAACCCATTCGTACTAAGCCAGTAATGCTGCCTTGCAAATAATTATGTTTCCCACTCTCCCCCACCCCCAAAGGATTGAAAGGACTTCGGACTCACGCTGCTTGTGATAATAGATAAAACTCCAAAGTTCCCACGAGGTTCATAATGTTCTTTTTTTATTATTATTATTCTTTTCTGTGACTCTCCGACATGAGCGATGTTGCTGAGATGGATGCATTAAAGTTTAGTCTTTCCAGAGTTTATTTTAATAACAGCTTCAAAGTAGAACACTGACTGGTTTTATTTGTTTTAGATTCTGGGCTTTACTGGGACTTTGTATTCATAGAATCCCTATAAAAGCTGGGGACTGTGGGGTGGTGGGGAGGAGAATGTTGTTCTGAGAAATTAATCAATCACAAACGAAAAAAAGAAATCCACTCAAGACTCCGATTGGAAGAGTTTCGAGAACAGCAGAACCTGCCTGGCCTTCATTCATTAAAATCACAATATTTAAATCAGTTCCTGCTAAGAGAGACTTTATTTTGTGTAAGCAGTCCCTCGAATATAGTTGCTTCTCAAGAAAACCACACACAGTTGGCATCGGAATGGTCCTATTTCCAAACATCTCACCCTGTTGACATCTCTGCAGGTATATCACACACACCGGGGCCACTGTCCCATTTCACCTATAATAATAGGTCACAATCCTGTTTGTTGTCACACGCATCCGATGAACTGCTTTCCATGCCAATTTTATCAGCAAAGCTTTACAAACGTTAATGGCAGCTCTACACATAGCAACTCAATACTTTTAAAGATCTGTCCAAAGGCATGATACCAAGCTTTGGTTTACATAGTACTGAAATTATGCTTAATACAGAAGTACCTTCCTTTAAGTACGTGAGTAGAAACATATAACAGTCCCATGTATGGGGACTGCTGGTCAGCAGGTCGCTCTAATGAGAAGCCGTGGAGTGTTGTGGTTCAGGGCATGGGCTCGGGAGTCACATGACCTGGATGGGAAACTCAACACCAGTACTTCCGAGCTGTGTGACCTTAGGCAAGTTGTCTCATCTCTCTGTGCCTCAGCGCTCTCTCAGCGGCGTTGATGGGATTGCTATCAGAACAATGCTATAACGTATAAGAAGCTGTTAGAGCAGTGTCTGACCCATAGAAAGCCCTCAATAAATATCGGCGTCATTATCATCATCGGCATTACAATATCTCTGCATCATGCAAAGTGTGATAGAAAAAGATCGGTACTGGAAATGAAAACAAAACAAAACACGGTGCTGGGTGTGACCTGCTGGCTCTGGCGTTGCTGAAGAACTGTAAGCGAGTCACTTAAGCTCTTTAAATCCTACTTTCTACCGCTCACTAATGAGGGGATTGAATGAACCAGTCCCCCCCAGTCCCTTCAAATTCTGAAATTCTCTGGCTTTATTTAACCCTAGAGTGAATCCCTTTGCAAGGTGAAGCACACTCACACCCCTTAATAACACCGTGCACGCCGAGGAGGCTTCGCCGTATCAGACGCTGCCTAGTTCACTGACAGTTCTCACTGTCGCCACCGTCCACAGGGGAGGTGAGCGATCCATTAGCTGGTTTCTAGAAACAAGCAAGTCTGCATTTGCCTGCCCGGGATCTACTCTGAGCACACCGACCTTGCTCAGCAGATATGTGTCAAAGTGAATGAATGGATGACATAAAGATTATAGATTGCCGCAAAGCATAAGACTTCTTTTGAAAAAGAATCTTAAAGGGGAAAAAAAATGTTAGTTAAAACCACAGGTGCCGCTCAAGGGGTGCATCCTGCTAAAGGTCCCTGCTGGTCCTTGGTGCTGCTTTTGTGACCTACAAGGCCTCCCCGGTAGCTAAGAACCCTGGTGCGCTCAGGCTGTGCAAAGGTGAGCCTGGGAGCTTGAAGGGATTGAGAGCTCAAGCCCTTCGCCTAACAGAAGGAGGACTCGGAGGGGACTTGGAGGAAGGAGTTACAGAGAGGGCAAGCAGGTGGTCTGAGGCCAGGCGCTCTATGCACTGGGTGAGCAGTGAAAACCCCCAGAGGTGGTTCGGAGAGCATTCAGGAAAAGATCTGCTCTTCTGTCTTCTGTGCCATTGGAGGTCTGCCATTCTGTGCAGCAATGTCACGCCTTTCCGGGGACCCTTACAACTACCTGGCTTGTATCTGTGGGTTCTTCAATAGTTGCAGGAGACGGGGGAGTCAGGGCTGGGCTCAATACCAGGACTGAGAGAAGCCATGCTCAGCAAAGGCAGGAAATCAAGACCAGCCATGACGACGGGAAAGTGGGCTCCCGGAACGCTGAGACATCCAAGGCAGGCCTTGGCCTTCCCAT